AAAAAGGCCAACTCCCAAAAGGCTTAAGGCTTTTCTGAGGGAGAATAAGGGAAGAGCTTTCTCTTCTGACTGCACCGGTGACTGAAGAACATTTTCATAACTCGGGGAGGCAGGGGAGAGGAGGAGAAGGGAGGGAAAAGAAAAGAAAAAAGAAATGTGAAGAAAGGAATGAAAGCAAGCAAGCAAGTAAACTGTGGACTCTAGGAAATGGTTAGAATTGATAGATCTGTGAAACAATGGGAAACCCCAATAAGAATACTTCAGGGCTGGACGTGGTGGCTCAAGCCTGTAATCCCAGCATTTTGGGAGGCAGAGGCGAGGGGACTACCTGAGCTCAGGGGTTCAAGACCAGCCTAAACAACATGATGGGACCTCATCTCTACAATAAATCAAAAAAATTAGCTGGGCATGGTGGCACATGCCTGTGGTTCCAGCTACTTGAAAGGCTGAGGTGGAAGGAAGGCCTGAGTCCAGCAGGTTGAGGTTGCAGTGGCTGTGAGCATACCACTGCACTCCAGCCTGGGCAACAGAGTGAGACTCTGACTCAAAAAAAAAAAAAAAAAAAAAGAATTAGAATACTTCAGGTCCTTTGATGCTAAGGGTTTGCTGAATGAATGGGCCAATTTCTTCTACCTTCTCTTGGTGGCTAGAAGAATACAAAGAAACCAGAGAGCAGAAAGACCTCCAAAAGACAATGAAGGCAGAACACCTTAATTCCTACCATCTCAAGAATTCCTACAATTTATCATATACCAACAACCAGATCTGAGTTCTAGAAACCAATAAAGAAAACAACAACCCATGTAAACATTCTAAGTAGCCAAAAAAGAAAATAAATAAAACCAGACAGAAAAAAAAGGATGCATGGCAAATGAACTAGAATGGCTGAAATAGAGCAGTCCCACTTTATCTGTGGTTTTGCTTTCTGCAAATATTAAATTTAGATATTTCATATTTGTGGTCTGAAAATAATAAAATCCCAGAAATAAACAATTCATAAACTTAGAATTGTAACTGTTCTAAGCAGCATAATGACACTGTGTACTGTCCCACCGGAGACATGAATCAATCTTTGCCCAGAATATCCATGCTGTAGACTCAGTTATCAGAAGGGTGAATATAGTACCATTTGATATTTTGAGAGACAAGGAGAAAGAACACATTCATATACTTTCTATTATAATACACTGTTATAATTGTTCAATTTGATTAGTTACTGTTAATCTTTTACTGTGCATAATTATAAATTAGCTTTATCATATGTATGCATGTATGTACAGGAAAAAAACACAGATATACAGGGTTTGGTACTATCCACATTTTCGGGAATCCATTGGGGGTCTTGAAACATATCCCCCATGGAGAAAGGGGGACTACTATAAAAGAAAAAATTTTTTAAAGTAAGAGTACTTAATAATATTAATGTTCAGCACACATACACATACAAATCATGTTTGGTGTTTTCTATGGTTGTCATTTCTTTTGTTTCAGCAACTAGCAAGCATATGCTGAAACAAAAGAAATGACAACCATAGAAAACACCAAACATGATTTCCCAATAAGTAATTCAATAGATACAATAAAAGATTGGACAGTCAGTGCTACCCGAAGGAATGATGCAAGGCGCTTGTCTCTGTTTAAATACCTAGGGATAGAGAAACATGTACCATGTCGTCAACACTCAAGCTGCCTTATCACACAGGCTAATACTTTCAATTTTGTCTGTTGAAGTCTTCTAACAACTTTATGGTTATATATGGTTTATATATACAATTTTGCCTTTTCCTTCCATTTCCAAGTCAGTTTTCTGCCTTATTGGAATAGCTATTTTTGTCAGGCCAAAAATATTTCATCAAACCCCTTAAAATTGTTGCATAATATTCATATAATGGAATACTACTCCGCAATAAAAAGTAAAAAACTACTGATACACATAGCTGAATGAGTCTTAAAATTAATTCTCCCCAATTTAAAAAACCAGATATAAAGAAAAATACTGCATAATTCTATTTATATGACAGCCTGGAATAGAAAAAAAAAATTTATAGTTGTAGGAAAAAGAAGCAGAACACATGGTTGCTTCTGGTACTGGCGAACTCTGACTAGGAAAAGAACATAGGGAACTTTCTGGAGTGATAAAAAAATATTCTGTCTTGGGATGTGAGTTACATGTAAGTATGCAAAAGTTGTAAAAAGTGATCTAAGTGTACACTGAAAACCTGAGTATTTCACTTTATGTAAATTATACACAATTAAAAAATTTAAACTATCACAGAATTCCCTCAGTATCATTCAGCAAGACTTCTAATTAATTAAGCATAGGAAATTCAACAGTTTCCTCTCAATTTTTATTCTTCTATCCACCCACTTTTAGTGCAAACAAGTGATGTGATCCAAGAGACTCACTTGCATTTTAAGATCTACAAACATCCAGAATTATCTTCCTGTTCCTAACACAAGTCAGTCCCTCCTTTTCTTTTCCCCCACCATTCTGTCTACAAACTAAGACCTTTACAAACTAAGAATAGAGAAGAGCGTCCATGCTACTTTACATATAGAAACTGAGACTTCATTCTCCAGCTTAGAGGTTGGTTTCTAAGACTTTTCTATTTCTTTTACTTAATCAGACAAGACTACTGATCGCATTTTAGTTTTAAAAAAGTTAACTTTCTTAGCAACTAGCAAGCATATGACCATTATGCAGCTTTCACAAAAACTAGCCATTTGTAAGTTTTATGGCTGACTCTTCCCCTATGCTTTTTCTTGACAAGTATTTTTTGTCAGCAAAAGCACTGTTCAACAAAAGAGGCCAAATCAACAGCTTAACAGTAAATTCATCTAAAGATCTGTTTTTCCCCATCTGAATAGTGATTCCCTGATGTACCACTGGTATCTACTTTTTATAAGAAACTAAAACTCCCAAACTTCTAACAGGTCACAATTTTGTCACAGCTAATGATTTGTCTATAAAATTTGCAGCCTAAAATCACCATTTGTCATGACTTAGTCTCTTTTCAGCTCTATCAAAAAAACACAATTCAGTCTTACTGCTTCATGCTTTGAGTATTAAAAAAAGCAATTCAATAACTTGTATTTCAGATTATTTACCACATCTGTTAATTAAATGTAGATTGCTTTATTTTCTTTAACCATGCTACAAAATTCTCTATTTATTTTAGTTGAGCACATACCAATTTATATTTCATGTGCTTTCAAATTCAGCTTCTCTAGGATTTTCAGTTTTGAAATTGCCATATATTTTTCAGTATGAGATGCTATCCTTGTGTCATTTTAATTCAAATGGAAATGTTTTTCCAGATATACCCTATGTATCTAAAAGATGCCTTCTAGTTCTTGAGAAGGCAGAATAGTCTAGAACCTATGACACTGGCTTGACTGAATTCTCCTTCAGCATATTTATATGATTATAAGTGATTAGGAGGCTAAAAACTTCACTGTCTAAAATATTTGCAGAAGCAGTCCAAAAAAGGAAAAGTGAAGAGCACCAAATAAAAAAAAAATTTTCCATTAAACCCAGAGAGACAAGTCTTATTTTGGGTCACTTCTAAAGGTATAAGTCAAAATTACAACACTCATGAAGTTTACTTCATCTGAGAGTCCAGAAGTACATGTCCTAATTCCAAGGTATATCCAGATCCAAAAGTTATACCTAACTAAAGAGGATACCATATATGACAGAATAAAAGTTTCTGTGAACTGATGTGCTAAAAGTTTGCAGATAGTTTCTTTACCAGTTCTTTTTAACCTTTAAGTATTGATCATCTACCCTGTAAGTCTTGGCCTTTCTCATATTAGATCAGGATTTCTCAATCTTGGCACTATTGACATTTTGAGATTGGTAATTCTTTGTTTTGAGGATCTATGTCTTATGCAATGTTATATGCAATATGTCCTATGCAATGCAGAATGTTTAGCAGCATCCCTGGCCTCTGTCTACTAGATACCAGTAGGATTTCTCAGATGTAATAATAAAAAATGTCTCCAGACATTGTCAAATGCCCTGAGAGGCAAAGTTGATCTTGCTTGAGAACTACTTCAACTAAATCAAAATATTTTTTTAATTTTAGCAAAGATCTATGAATCATCTAAAGCTGTACAGTACCCTCCAAGATTGCTGTATAAGTACAGTAAAAACTAAACTAAATTAGGAAAATAATGTCTAGAATCAAGCATAACTATTTCTATATAGCAGGCACTAGGTCATTATTATTTGAACTACTGGACTATGAATTATTTGAGCTCATGGATTATTAATTTTTATAATTCTATTCACGCTAGATGTATTTCTTTTGGATCGGCTACTTCCTACTCTCTTTATTTTGAAGATTAAATAAAACACAAAGAGAAATTTAATAGGAAGTTGGAATCAGACAATAAGGAAGCCAATGTGATAAACATTTTAAGCAACCTAATTCCTTTTTATGATTACTGATATTTCAGAGTCCAGAGTACTAACCATTACACTATGGAACCTGATTTCTGATATTTCAACAGATGTGAGGTACATTTACTACTTGTCTTCTATGTAAGTAGACACTACCACATATACATTACTACCTAATTAATTGTTAAAGTTTCGGGGAAATGGAAACACTTTGACAAATTTTCTTAGTATTTTTGTAAAATTGTTCAGCTGTTAAGTGTTGTAGAAAGAGAACATTAATTGAAGAGCCTCTACTATTCCAGGTCAATCATCATATTCTCTTGGATATACAATTACAGAAAATGACAGTTTATTGTCCTCCTTTCCCTCTCATTCTGAATTCTTGTGACACTTCTCTAAAATTTAAAACTTGAAATATTACCTTCATAATAAACCCTTCCTCTGATGATCTCACAGAACTGGAATCATGACCTTACAATCCATTTCATTCACCAACTATTTAGTCAAGTAAATAGACATTGTTCATGATTTTTAACAGGCTGATAGCCAAAGAAGAGAACCATCAGCATTTCTGAACAGATATAAAGGTTCTTACCTACAAGCAACATTTGGATCAGCATTTCTTGAAAGTAGCAGCTCTACACACTTCAAAACTTGTTCCTCAGAGCCACGAGCAGAACATGCAGTTATCAAAATAGTTTGCTTATCTATAGCAAATGGAAAAGTAAGGAAAAACTCTCACACATCAAGAAGTGTATCTGATTGACTTCTTTACCATTCAAAACATTCTATTTATTGCACTCTAAAATTCTATAAGCTCTTCCCAAACCTCTCACTCTTAACAGATAACTTTACATCTTCCTTCACCAAAACATGAGACCAGGGATGAATCCCTTAATCTCCAAAGCGTATCTACAGTTCTTTTCTTAACTTCCTTTCTCTATTTCCATTTATTTAAGAGAACAGAAAGTGATGAAGTACACGGACTCTGTAGGCACATCGCCTGGATTTGAACAATTTATGGCTGATTAGAATTTACATTGCTGAACTCATGGCTGGAAGATAATGATCTACGTTCTCTAGCTTCACTTATTTACTTCTCATCCATTTGACAACTCCTGAACTCTTCTTATAATCTACCCCACTGAAACTGCTGTTACCACCATATCCATTGGTTTTTTTTCAGCCCTATTCTACTTGATCTCTCCGAACTCACTCTGGTCTCCTAAAACTCTTCTTCCCTTGGCCCCTATGCCAGCAGAGACCAGTGCACATGCAAAATAAACAAAAAACACTTCTCATTTAAGAATTAAAGAATTCAAAATAGGTCACCACAGCTATGGTTCACATTAGTGGCTCAATATTAACAGAGCATAAGATTCTAGTCCCAGTTCTGCCACTGAGAACTGTGACTCCAAAGCTATTAATATCTCATTAGACCTAACTCATAGATATGAAGCTAAGACTTGCCCTCTTTATGTGATAGGGTTATCATGGGACACATGAAAGAATTTATATATATAGTCTGTGAAAAGTATAAAGTGTTTTATAGCTGTAAGTATCCCTCTGGTAACAAGGAGGGAGAAGCAGAAAAGAAAAATGACTACTCAGTTTTTTGAACAGAATATTTTACACTTTCAAAAATCTCACTCCCTAAATATAGCTTTCATTGAATGATATTTTTAAGTGATGTAATTAAACATGAAACTGTTGATAAGACAGAAATTTATATAAAACATATAAATAAGAAAACAGATTAAGTAGTTTTACAAATATATAATGTAGGTACAAAATTAATGTAAAAATTAATTCTAAAATGAAACCTACACCTTCAATTATGAAGTGAACTTAATTGTCTATTGAAAACATTAAAAATAAGTAATTGGTAATTTAATGTAATAATTAAACTGGATTTGCTCATATACTCTTGTTCTTCAAAAGCATTCAAAGCACTACTGAGTCGAAATCATTTAGTAACAAAGAAAGATATGGATTTCATAAACTATCTTTGACACACTTTAAAGGATTTAATTTAGAGTTGAGTTTAAAATTCCACAGACTGATTTTCCACAAAATTGTACGTTTTTGATGTTTCTTTTAACGCATTTTCCCTCATAAAAAAAACCAAATTCCTCTAGTACAGAGGTTAAAGGTATATAATCACAATCGATTATAGAGATAATATAACTGGAATCTCTTTTTTTGAAAGAGGGGATTTCAAAATATGTATGCTTTCTAATTTGATTTTATACATTATCTACATAACACGACTAATAGAAAAGTTGTGGTTTTTTTTTTCAAATTGCTTTAATTTTGTTCACTTTCTAGCTTGGGAATCAAAGAATCACAAAAAGCATTCTCAGTTAACTTACTTCAAACATGTTACCTTTATTAAAGCTTGCATTAGCACCTTTGTCCAAAAGGACCCGAACCAGGTCCGCATTGGCAACGCTAGCAGCATACATAAGGGGAGACCAACCATACCGAAAGCTGGAATTTACACTAACACCTGTCAATATAAAAACAAGCTTTAAAAAGCCCCCCGCCACCACCAAAATATATATATATATATATTATATACATCAGTTGCCTTAATACACTTAAAGTACTATGCATAGTGACACATACCATGTACTTTATTCTACAAGTGAATTTTTTTGTAATAATGGCCTCAGAAAATTAGAAAATAGTTATAACAGAACTTCAATAAAATTTTCTAACTTCAGTTTCACTATAGGCACTCTGTTCCAAGGGACCTGATCTGATATTATAATATGTAAAATAGGTATATTATAACAGGCTTTTACATGATACCTTTTACTCTCAGGGGAAAATGTCTTTAGAGGTAAAATATCTTTTAAATTGTAATATTATCCCTGGGTAACATCATATATCTCTATGGTTGCAAATACTACATTTATCCCTAAGACATCAACTTCCTTCCCAACACTAAACTTACCTATGGGTGAATGACAAAACATGAAGCTAAGAAGATAGGTTAGGATTATATTATAAAATCTGTTAATAAATTCAGACTATACTTTGTGATCCAGGAATCAAAATCATTATATCTGCATTATAAAGATAACATAGGTACCACTATTGAAAATGGAACTTTAGGCAGGGGTCCAGTTTTGAGGCTAGAAGTTAATACAAAAATCAGAGTAAGGGCAGTGGAGAGAGAGAGAAAAAGGAAAACAAAACAGCATTTCAAAGGCAGGGTCATCAGAATTTCAGAATACTTTGAGGAGGCAGTATGGTGGAAAAGCACAATTAAAAAATGACTATCAGGTTCTCAAATGTGCCAAAAAGAAAAAAACAAACAGTCCCATTACGAAGTGGGCAAAGGATATGACACTTCTCAAAAGAAGACATAAGAGCAGCCAATAGATACATGAAAAAAATGCTCAGCCTTACTAGTTATCAAAAAAACACAAATTCAAACCACACTGAGATACTACCTAACTCCAGTCAGGATGGTCATCATCAATAACACAAAAAACAAGAGATGCTGGAGAGGATGCGGTGCAAAGGGAATATTTCTACACTATTGGTGGGAGTGTAAACTAGTACAGCCTCTGTGGAAAACAGTGTGGAGATGGCTGAAAGATCTAAAAATTGACCTCTCCCATATGACCTTGCAATCCCCCTACTGGGAATTTACCCAGAAGAATTCAAATCACTCTATGAAAATATACCTGCACATATGTGTTTACTGCAGCATTATTTACAACAGCAAAAACATGGAACCAACCATGCTGCCCATCAAAAGAGGACTGGATTTTTTAAAATGTGGTACATGTACACAATGGAATATTACACAGCCATAAAGAAGGACAAAATTATGAACTTCAGAGCAACTTAGATGGACTTAGGGTCTATAATAGTGAGTTATTATATTATAATTCTGTGATAATCTATCACAGAAGCAAAGAACGGAGTATCACATGTTCTCATTCATAAGTGGACTTTGAACAACTATCATAATACTATAAGAAAGGGATTGCAGCACTTTGGGAGGCCGAGGTGAGAGGAGAAAAAGAATAAAAGGAAGAGATTAGCAGTAGTGGGAAACCGCCAGGGGAAGGGGGAAGGGGCACACTTCATCAATAAGGGTACTACGTAATGAACATTTGCATACCTAATCCTGAATTGTACACCACATATTTAAAATAAAATTAAAAAAAAAAAATCACTAACAGAAAAAAAATGACTATTAGGTTCTATCTTGGACAAATTAATGACAAGCAGTGAGCTAAGATAAGGTGAGGCACAGGAGAGGTATCAGGTTTTAGGAGAAGGATAAAGTTTGAAGTAGTCATTATCCACAATGGGACAGGAGAAGATAGATAATAACTGTTATGAAGGACAAGGACCAGCTGACCTTAAAATTCTCAAATCACTAATGTTACAAATCCTTGGAATCATCTGATTTTCCCCAGCAGCACTGATTAGTTTGTTCACATTTAAAAAAAAAAATAGCTGAACTGATCTAGGATTGTATCTAGGACTGGGGAGGAGCATAGAAGATGTGAAACAAGAACAAAGATACAACCCATTAAATTAATGTAAAGCCTTTTCTATAAAGGATATCAAGACTACACTGGCAATCTCTTCAACCTAAGAAAATTTGCTAATTTCAAGAGAAAAACAAACAACAGAACATTTTTGTTTCATATAAGGAAAATCTGTACGTGAAACACCAATGAATATAGGCCTGGCTTTACTACCCTAAAATTTACAGGTTCCATAGTCTCTGGTTATAAAGTATTCCACCTGCAATGAAGAAGGTCACATCACTGAGGAAATATAAACTTGGGGTGGGGGGCGGGACTCACTTTTGTTCAAACTGTGAAGCAAAGGCAGAAAGAAAAAGATGTGAGGAAAAGAAGTGAAGCAAATGTGGTGCTTTGGCATAATAATTCTTACTAATTACCACCTTTAATACTTAAATTATTAAGCATCTATTATGTTCCAGGCAAAATGCTAAAAAAGGTAAGGGTTTTTATGGGGCAGAAATTTTCAAGTTTGATATTTTAAAAATATATTTCATTTTAAAGATGAAGAGTACAATTCAGGATTAGGTACACAAGTGGACATCATACAGGTAAAATTTGGGCCTCCCTTTGGTTCCCATTTTGCCTGGTTTGAGATCAGGTACCCTTATTGATGTTGTGTTCTCTAACGTCCTCCCCACCCCCACAGCAGTATCCTGCTACTGCCATGCCAAAAGGTAATTTTCAAGGGGTTAGATACAATATATTTGCACAGCTCAAAAGCATTCAAAATAATACTATATTATGGTCGGGCGTGGTGGCTCACACCTATAATCCCAGGACTTTGGGAGGCTGAGGTGAGGGCTTCAAGGCAAGACCTTATCTCTACAATAAATTTAAAAATTAGCTGGTGTGGCAGTGAGTGCTTATAGTTTCATTTACTCGGAAGGCTGAGGCAGAAGGATCACCTGAGCCCAGCAGGTCGAGGCTACTGTGGCCGTGAGTATGCACTGCATTCTAGCCTGGGTGACAAAGTGAGATTCCAACTAAAAAAAAAATTATATATCATTTAGGGATATATATACATATATAGTAAAAGTATAAAGATATTCACAGGAATGATAAACGTCAACTATAGAAAAGCAGTAACCACTATGCCTTTCTAAATGTCTAAACTATTTCACAACTTAAAGAGAACTGAATAACAGGATAACAAAAACTGGAAACATCTTCAAACTGTTAAAGTGGCTGACTAAAAAATCAAGACTAACTTTGAAAGGCAAAAAATTTAAGAATACAGTACTTTAAGAAGCTAAATAACGACATCAGAAGGAAATATCTAAGAAAGGAGTTAGCTGTGAAAGTGAGACATCAGTAGTAATGGGGGTAGAGTGAGGATAAAGGTATCTTTCTTATACCTATATCATACTTATTATTGGCTTTTAAAAATAAGCTTTAAAAATTTTGTAATTAAAAACAAATTGTAAATGATTTACTTAGCAGTAGGGTCTGTCCAAAAAACTCACATATACCCAATAACCATATCAAGTGCTAATCTTTCAACAGTTTCTATCACCTTCATTGTACCTAGTCCCACTACTCCCAATGCAAATTCCCTTTCCCAAAACAAATTTCTGCCAATTCTACCCCATCCAACACTATATACAGTATACATATATTCACATTAGGTGTTCAGGCTTCCTTCCACTTATTCAAATTGTATTCAATTTAATTCTTCAATTACAAACTCAAATTCCACTGTCCAAAAAGTCATACAGATCCTTCTCATTAGAATAATAGCTAACATTAGATAATTCCAGTATGCTCTAAGACCTTTTCTATATGTTTTAATTCTTCCTCTCAACCACCTTTTGATATAATGATCCGCATTTGAAAAAAGTAGAAATTGAAGCTTAGGAAGGTTTGGTAATTTAGTCAAGATCCCAGAGCCATTAAGTGGTATGATTAGTAATCAAACCCAGATCTGTCCTGTTTTCAATGATTTACTTTCCACTAAATCATGTATTGACCCTAGCATAGAAGAAAACCATTTTGCTATATACAGTCTCATCTAACTACTTTGTGTGTGAATGTTTTGTATCTACAACTAGAATCATAAATGCCTATTACTCCTTTAGATAATTTAAATCATTATAATCAATTAATTACATTTGTATATGAAGGTAGTTCAAAATATTTCATTTAACCCACAGAAAATGTCATGGGACTAAGAACAGAATTATGTTTTACATAAAGAATCAGATTCTAAGAAAGTTTAAATAACTTTCCCAAGGAATCACACTAAGTAGGCAATAAAGCTGGAACAAATATCTAGATTTTAATTCTGATTCCTAGCAAAGGCCTTATTCTCCAAAACAAAACAAAAAAACATAACTAAAATATACATGACTAGAAATAGTTATTGAGAAACATCATAACCAAGTAAATACAAAGAAAAGTAAAAATGATCAAGGTGGGGTAGGATTAGTCAGAGTAGGCCTCCTGTATGTGGTAGAACTGATGGAAGATAATTAGGGTGGCGTTCCTAACATAAGCAAAGAGGAAGAAAATAAGGCAATTAAGAAAACCAATATGTCATCGTGTTTCCATTCAAAAAGCAGCACAAATCTTTTAAAAATAAGGAACCCTTGCGAATTTAGACAACTGAGTTCAGTTGAAAATATCCTTAAGCTCTCACCAGAATTCAGGAGTTCCTGGACCAATGCAACATCTCCGGTGGACAATGCTTTCTTAAATGCTTCATTCTTTTCTTCAACAGGTAATGGCCCTTTCAATTTCTAAAAAAGTAGGAAGTTAAAAAAAACTTCTTGTTATATATATTTTCATTTCTACCAGATCAACAATGTTTAAGTACATAGGCCTTTTTTTCCCCTCTTGGTTTTGTTTTGACCAAGATACAAAGTTTGTAAAGAATTCACGTTTAAAATGATCTTTACTGGGAATGGTTAATGACGGGTCAAAATTGAAGTGGTAAGTTATCACGATCTAAAGAAGTGCATGACAGAAACCACAGTTGGGGAACAAGGGTAAAATTCTGCGGGTTTGGTTAAGTCCAAACGCCCATAGTTCCAATGGGAAAAAGTGGGAGAAACACGGGTGAGGAAGCAAGCAAGAGGTTTCACAAGGCTGGGCCTCGGCCTTCGACGGCCTGAAGAGGCTGGTGCTACATGCGGTGAGGACAAGGCCTCCTCCGCTACCTGAGAAGGCCGGTCGAGATACCCAATCTCCCAGCCGTCATCCTCGCTCTCACTGCTCTCGCCTCCGCCGGCCACTGCCGGGCTGCAAAGCGCACCCGCCATCACACTCTCCCGACTGCTTCCAGGCCGCGCCACGGGCGCTCCGGCTCTCCCAGCGCCTGCGCGCTGCGGAAACGGGTGGGGCTGCGCGGGAAGGGCTGCGCCGGAAGGAGCCACTTGCTGGCGCCGGGGCCTTTGGTACTGCTGCGCAGGCGCCTAGCTGCGCTCTGCTCACCTACCTGCCCCTTCCCGCCAACCTTGCAGCCGGAAGTGAAAGCCGGAAGTGTCAGGCAGAGCTGGTAAAAGTGAGCACCCAGAGCTCCAGGCCAGTACTTCCCATTTCTTTCATTGTTTTTAGGCGTATTTGCTTGAAGTTGTTGCTCAGTGAGGAATGCCCCACTGTGGAAGGAACCGAACGAGATTTAATGCTGAGAAAGACTGGACTTTCCCTGCCACTCCCCTTCAGCCTCCCATGCCAAACCTCTGTCCAACGTGTCCCCTGGGAAATATAGTCTGTTGAGCCAGAAAGCGTCTCCAAGGAGCACAACCCCCTCCCCACCCAAACACGCAAGATGCTGTCACACAAAGCGGACAATGGAGCCAGGAGAAAACACCACCCCAAATTACATGTCGCGTGATCTCAGCTTAGATTTGGAAACTTGAGGCCACCCCTACACTCCGGTTATGAAGGGTAGGTGTGCTACCCCAAGAAGGGGTGTGGGTCGATGTCTATGAACCCGGTTCTTGTGTTCAAGAATTTGCAAACAGACACACAAGAGTATCAAGACAAGCAAGTAGCTTTATTAAGCAGAGTAGAGCACACTCTCAAGAAGGGAGAGCAGGAAGAAACAGCCTACAGAAGCTGCGGCTTCTGCACCCAACAATTGTTGAGCTATAACTTCTTCTTAGGAATATTGGGTGGTGGTTTTTGGGGTGGTCGTTTTCTAGAGATGGGTGATCTTTGGGCTGGGTTATCGTTATTCCTCCTTCATGTCGGGCGGAGATTTAGGCCTTACAGGGCCATACCAGTACTGTCATGGCCTAAGGTGTATGATGGGAGTGGGAGGCTCCCCTAGGGTAACTTTGTGCTAATAGTATTATAATGAAGGTAAAAATAGGTTATGGGGCCGGGCTCGGTGGTTCAGCCTGTAATCCCAGCACTTTGGGAGGCCGAGGCGAGTGGATTGCCTGAGCCTGAGGGTTCGAGACCAGCCCAGGCAACTTGGCAAGACCTCGTCTCTACAATTAAAAAAAAAAATTAGCTGAGCATGGTAGCGCGTGCCTGTAGTTCTGGCTACTTGGAAGGCTGAGGCCGAAGGATCACTGGAGTCCAGCAGGTCGATGCTGGGTGGCCGTGAGTGTGCCACTGTACTTCAGCCTGGGCGTCAGAGTGAGACTCCAACTAAAAAAAAAAAAAAGTAGGTTATGGTTATCCTAGGTCAACCTTGACTATTGGTGCACATGGCCAGTTCCTGCCTTGGTGGTCGGCTCTGACCACAAGCATCCTGGAGAGACAGACTGCTGTGCTGCAGGTGTATCTGATATGGGTCTAAAAGGTAGGTGTGATGCTTCCTATAGCTAGGCTGTCTTGCTTGCATGCATGGTTTTGTACCAGCTACTGCTGGACATTAATGGGTGTGGAACTTTCCCACAGGCTTAAAGTTTTCTAAGCTAACCTGCATACTCTATCGGGTACCCGAGGGGAAAAAGTCAGTTATGAAAGCTGTGGGCTTGGGGGATAGTGGATCCAGAGAGCAAAAGAACAAAGTGATTTAAACATCCAGGGAACAAAGAAATGTACAAACAACGCCAGGTGAAAGTGGCTCAAGCTCAAACTCACTTTTGTGCATCTAACTTCTAGGTGGAATGTTGGTAACACAGTGACTATCTTCACCACCATAGAAAAGTAGATCCTTCAAGAAACAGTGCACATTTATGTACATCAAGATGATTTAAAAGGAAAGTTGCCACATGCTATTCATTGAAAGCTTTTGCAGTGAGTTTTTTTCTTGAAGATTTGTTGACATAAGATTTTGGATTTATTTACTTTAGAAACTCTCAAATGTAACAAATGAAAGTATTTTTAAGTAGTTTAATTATTTTGGGGCCATACCCATCTTTCTAAATGCATTCATTCACTGGATATTATGGATTATTGAGTACAGCCAGGCAAAACCTGGTTTGAGGAGACAACACCAAAGACAAACCAGGCTGCCTTGTGGAGCTCACACTTTAATAAGGAGAGAGATAATATGCAAGGAAACAAAAAAGCAAAATGATTACAGAGATTGTTTTGCCTCAAAAGAAGTAAACAAGTGAGCCCAGTTTCTGGAATCAAACCACTGAGGTGTTTCCTGGGGGAATCTCGTACTAGCTATAGCTGTGTGCTCTTGGACACTATACGTATCTTCTTTCAGGGCACCAATTACCTTATCTGTAAAATTAGTACCCACCCAATAGAATTGTTATGAGGGTTTACTGAAGTAACACACTTGGGATAGGGCCTGTTTCAATATAAGAGGTAAATAAATCTTAGCAATTATTATTGCTTTGGATAGAACAGTTAGGCCTGGGCAGAGACCTGATTGATAAGCCATAAAACAAGGAAGAATAGAACTTTTTTGGGAGTGGAGATGAATAGCACCAAGGCCCTAAGGTAAGAAAAAGCTGGGACTCAGGCACAGGACAACCGTGGGGCAAGTTAGGCCCCTAGGGAGTAAAGTTTAAGGAGACACTCACTCTCAGCATCTTGCAAATGCAGTGAGTGCCTTCTTAGATTTTGCACCTGGAGAGGCACTTAACTCACCTTAGTCCTTCTCCTGCTTGGACCAGAAAGGAAAATAGGGGTGTGTGATGAGTGGACCTTGTGGGCCTCAAGTAAGTAGTTTTAAGTAGTTTGAATTTTAATCTAAGAGTACTTGAACAGTGAAATGTTTTCAAGCCAATGAAAGATGTGTTCGTATGTGTGTTTCTATTTAAAGACACTCTGGCTCTTTTGTAGAAAAGGTTTTTGGTTTGAACAGCTGGCTAAGTAGTGGTTCCACTTACTGGATGGGGGAAGGCTTGAGGATAAACTTGAAGATTTAATGAACATCTCAGGATTGATGTATTTAAAATGAAACAGCAAGTATAGCTGTCAAATGGGTAGTTGGGTGTTCAAGTATGGAGCTTAGGAGAACCTGGTCTTGGAGATTATCTACATACAATTGATTTTTAAAACCTTAGGACTTACCAAACAAATTTTTTTTTTTGAGTTGGAGTCTCACTCTGTCATCTAGGTTGGAGTGCAGTGGCATACTCATGGCCACCCCAGCATTGACCTGCTAGGCTCTGGTGATCCTTCCACCTCAGCCTTCTAAGTAGCCAGAACTACAGGCACACGCTACCATGCCTGGCTACTGAACAAAATTTTTTTTTGTAAATATAGCTAAGATTATAAAAAACTTATTTAGAAAGGCAAAGGAACTAGACTAGCTAAAACAATAATGAAAAAGAAGAATAAAATAGGAGAAATTGCTTTCCTTGGTTTCGAGATTTATGTGTACCATTGATTTCGAGATTTTGTGATATAGATCAAGAGAACAGAATAGAGAAACTAGAAATAGCTCCACACAAGTATAGTATGGCCAACTGATTTTTGACAAAGGTGTAAGATCAATTCAATGGAGGAATGATAGTCTTTTCAACAAATAGTTGTGGGGCAATTGAAAATCCTTAGGTTAACAAAAGAAATGAACCTCAACTTAACCCTCATACTTTTTACAAAATTAATTCAAAATAGATCACAGGTGAGTGTAAATGAGATGTGCATGAAAGTTCGTAGTAGCATTATTCATATTAACCCCAAATGGAAACAACTTAAATTTCCATCAACTGACAAATGGATAAACAAAATTGGTCTACCCATACCATCTTTATTAATTTTCTAGAGCTGCTGAAACAAATACCACAACTTGGGTGGCTTATAACAACAGAATTTCTTTCTCTCACAGTTCTGGAAGTTAGAAGTCTGAAATGAAAGTGAAGGCTCTAGGAGTAGATTCTTTTTTGCTTCTTCCTATTTTCTGGTAGTTGCTGACAGGCCTTGGCATCACCTTAATATCGGCCTCTATCTTTACATGGTAGTCTCTCCCATGTGTCTGTGTCTCTGATTCTCTGTGTGCCCAAATTACCATTTTCTTATAAAAACACCAGTTGCAATGGATTTAGGGCCCACCGCAATCCAGTATGACCTCATCTTAAGTTGATTATGTGGTCTAACAAGTTTGTTAATTCATCGTTGAAAAAGTGCTACATAACTCATTGCTGAATATCACTATGGTCACCTTTGAAGAACTCCCCTGCGAAATTATGCACTGACACCAATGGTAGTCCACCTGTCAAAGTAATCTTGGAATTCTTTTTCTGGAGTGGCTGAAATCAGAGGTGTTGTCATGAGAATGTCAGAGTTTGAATTAGAGCAATGTACAAACATTAAATTTCTTGTTAAAATTGACAAGGGTGGAAGTGTAATCACAGGCATGTTAGTCCAAGATTATGGGGATAATGCCATGAAGAAAATTGAAGTGTACAAATGGATTAAATGTTTTTCTGAGGGGAGAAAAACCATCTTTGATGAAGAGAGGTCAGGCTGGCCAGTAATGAGCAGAACTGACAAAAACATTGCAAAAATTTGTCAAACTCTCCATCAAAATCATCAGCTGACTGTGAGAAACATAGCAGACCAAATAAACAGTGATAAAGAAACAGGAAAATCTTAACTGAAAATCTTGGCATGTGAAAGGTGTGTGCAAAAATGGTACTGAAAAAGCTCTTGCATCACAACAGTGCACCAGCTCACACAGCACTGTGTGTGAGGGAGTTTTTAGCCAGTAAACAAATAACCATATTGGAACACTCTCTCTACTCACCTGATCTGGCCCCCGATGACTTTGTTCTTTACCGAAGGAAAAAGGAAATATTGAAAGGAAGATATTTTGATGACATTCAGGGCATCAAGAGTAATACAGTGACAGCTCTGATGGCCATTCCAGAAAAAGAGTTCCAAAATTGCTTTGACACGTGGAT